ACTTTACTGAGGACAACAAAGTGAGACTCTGTCTCAAAAAAATATATAATAAAATAAAATAGGAGGAGGTCTTTATTCCAAGGCCTCTGTAACTCTACTGAAATCAATATTTCCTATTGTTCTGGAGCTAAAGACTCCAGGGGTAGGTAAACACTGTGGGACTTTAGAAATAATGATCTTGGCCCTGGAAAAAATCCACTGAATCATTACATAGTGGAAACTCTTATACTTGTGTGCAGCTTTGCTAGTCTTAGGGTTCTTGGGTCTGTTTCCATCTCCCACATTAATTGAAGGCCCAGGTGTGACGGTGTGCAGTGTGAGGAAGCACTGGCCTGACTCGCATGTAAGGTTTTGCAGTGACAATTGGAATTGTTGTGGCTGAGTTTTCCTCTGTGACATCTCTGTAGGACAGGTCTCAGCAACCACCTCCTCTTCTCTCCTCCCCGTCTCAGGCCCCAGCCTCCTCTTCATCACATACGCGGAAGCTATAGCCAACATGCCAGCGTCCACGTTCTTTGCCATCATCTTCTTCCTGATGTTAATCACACTGGGCTTGGACAGCACAGTGAGTGAATGGGAAGGGAAGATGGGCTCTGGGAGGAGGAAGAGGAGGAAGAGGTGGCAGCTGTACTCCTTCCCTCCCACCCTAGCCATCTCTGGCACTCCTTAGATGCCTAGTTCACTCCTCAATCATGGCACTTACCATCCTCTAATATGGTAGTGTCATTAATGGGATAACGTGGGTAATGTGCTGGGCTAAGCCAAGGGCTCAGCACATGTGAACTGTCATTATCATGCACTGTCCCTTGCCCAGATAATGCCTTCTTATGTCTCTGCCCCGCCTAGAATTCAGTACCTTGCACTTAGCCTTTCTGGTATAAAGTTACCCCCAGAGACTCACATATTAAAGTTCTGCCCATATGTCATATTTTCTTTCCTGGATGTCCTTAGTGATGGGTTCTAAATGACAGTATAAAACAGGGAAATTTACTTCGAGATGCTTTCATGGGCCAGTGAGTCAGGGGAACTGGTCATGATCCGATTGACTAGTCATTCAGTAGTCTTACCCTTCCCTCCAGTTCAGTGTTCTGACATCTATAGACTTGTCCCAAAGCCTCCACTGTGACCATTTGTGTGTACTTTTCAGTTTGCAGGCTTGGAAGGGGTGATCACGGCTGTGCTGGATGAATTCCCGCACATCTGGGCCAAACGTCGGGAGTGGTTTGTACTAGC